TAATATTACAAAGGAACAGGTGAGCATGCTTCACCTGTGGGGCTCTAGCAAGACACACCCATGCACGAGACACAGACCCTCCAACCCAAGAAGGGTGGGGAAAGCTCTGCCACATTTCTGTGACTGAGCGCCTCAGCACCCAGCGGGGAGTGTGCCTCAGTCACATGTGAAGTTGGTCTCCCACAGTCATCATTTTCTTAATCCATTAATTTTAACAAATAATTATATTTTAAAAGAATAGATTTTGATTTAATTAAAACTCAGCAGTAACTATGAATAGTTTCTTTGCTCATGAAGGAAGATTTCTCCTGAGAAGGCACTTATTGGGCAGTGTTTAGAAGGGCTGGTGTTTGGTGATGATCACAGCAGTCTGACTTCCGGTGTTGTTGCTTACTGTCTTTGACTCTCAGTAGGTAAGATGCCTTTGCGTCACTGCACCGCGCGCCCGCACACACACAGATCCCATTACCCAGCCTTTGGGGTCATGCAGGTGGAGGTGCAGGGGTCCTTTGTGTCACTGCATCGGGGGTGCGGACCCCATCACCCAGCCTTTGGGGGCATGCAGGTGGAGGTGCAGAGGCAGGGTGTGGGATGATGGATGGAACGTGAGGATCTGGAACCAGGAAATGGATGGGCTTTGGGAAAGGGCGTCTGCATCCATAGTCTGGGTTTAACTCCTGTGAGTGGTGACCGGCCTCTGGGTGTGGGTGACTCAGATTCCAAACCGGTGCCCCTGGAAGGCTTGTGGGCAGCTCGCTCTGGTGAGCCACCCTGGAGCTCTCTGCTCCTGACTAAAGGCAGGACCACCTTTATGAGCTGAGTGCAGATCCCTCACGGTGCGTGGGCACAGCTCCAGAGTAGGAGCTGTTCGGTGCCACAGATACCCAGGTGCCTGGGCCAGCCACAAGCCTCCTGGGGCCTGTGTCTTCACCACTAAATAAGCATCTGCCCGTGGACCTCATGGGTGCTGTGAGGAGCAGCCAGTAGCAGAGGCGAACCTGGCTGGTCCCCAGGGGTAGCGCCCTGGAGCACCGAGGTCAGACCCTGCCTTCACCTGGAGTTTCCCATGCTGTGGGCCTGGAACAACATTCTGAATTCCCAGGGAGGCTTTTCCAGCTGGCATGAGGCCCTGAGAGTCAGGATACTGGTTCCCGAGGCCCGGTTCTGGCATCAGCTCTGAGTCTTGGCTCTGTCATATCCTGTCTTTGTGTCCGTGGGCAAGTGATACATGTCTCGTCACTTTCTCAGCCACACCAGGATGGTACTGTGTTACACTGAGGATTGACCTGTGGCTGCGTTTAGTACTAGTACAGCGCCTGGACTGCACAGGTTGCTGAACAGCGGTGCAGGTGCCCATTACAGAAAGCCACCAGCCGCTATTACCTGGTCACTGTGGTGTGTTAGACATATGCATTATTCCTGAAGAAGGAATGGCTCCAGGGCGTTTTCTACCAAAAACTGCAGACTTCAGGAAGTTCTAAAGTGCTTTACAGAAACATGACATTAGATTTTATTTATCAAAAAATATAATTTGCAGTAAAATGTGAATTAGTTACAAACCCATAGTTTGAAAATATCATTTTATATGTAGTTCTTAAAAAATTTTTTTAGTTGTAGATGGACATAATATCTTTAGTTTATTATTTTTATGTGGTGCTGAGGATCAAACCCAGTGCCTCATACGTGTGAGGTAAGTGTTCTGCCTGAGGCACAACCCCAGACCTTTCTATGTAGTTTTAATATTGTTTGATGATAACATTTTAGGTCAACAGTTCTTAAAGTTCAGATCTTTGCATGGCGCTGTGGTGCACTTTTGTAGCCCCCCAGCAGCTTACAATAAATCCTCGGGAGGCTGAGGCAGGAGGATTGAGAGTTCAAAGCCAGCCTCAGCAACTTAGTGAGGCCCTAAGCAATCCAGCAAGATCCTATCTCTAAATAAAATATAAAAAGGGTTGGGTGTGGCTCAGTGGTTAAGCACCCTTAGGTTCAATCACTGGTATATATAAAAAATAGATTTGGGTCTTAGGGTCCTTTAAACTTTTAAAAATCATTAGAGACCTTGAAGAATTTTTTATTTGCACTCATATTTACCACATAAAAATACAGTGGAGTGGTTGGGGGTCAAGTTCAGTGGTAGAGCATGTTCCTAGCATGTGTGAGGTCCTGAGTTCAATCCAGCACCACACTCGATAAATGAATAAGTAAATGGGGAACTAAGATCATTAATTCCTTAACAATAATCTATTTATATGTTAACATGCTGCCACACATATGTTTGATTTTAAGATAATTATATTGGTGCTAAGGGGCAGAGCATACCTGTAATCCCAGCAACTCGGGAGGCTGAGGCAGGAGGAGCACAGCCTGTGCGATTTAGCCAGATCCTGTCCCCAAATAAAATGTGAAAAGGGACAGGGTGTAGCTCAGAGGTAGAACCCTCACTTAGCATGCTTGAGGCCCTGGATTCAGTCTACAGGAATGCAAAGAAAAAGCAGGCTGTATTTTTAAACAAAGAGTAGAATTATGTACACTTTGCCAACCTCACTGATGTCTGGCTTAATAGGATTAGACAGAGGTACCATTGCAGGAACTGAGTTCTTCCTTTCCTTCTTTTCCCTGAATGCTAGTGCTTTCTGCACCTCAATGTAAATTCAAGGAGTATATTTTTAAATTTTAGTTGTTTTTAGATATTGAAAGGATTTTTTTTCAGTGACTTGTTCATTCATTTAATATTATATTGCTAGGGCAAATACTGTTGTGTGCGGATGCATTTCACTTACCCTGGGTGCTGCAGGTGACCTGCCACAGCTGGGGGGTCCCCTTCCATTGATAGTATGTGGATTATTTCCACATTTTCTCTACTGTGGAGGTCATGGACGCCCCGCTCTCATAGCCTTCCAGTTCTGGTAGCTGCAGTGTACATCTCAGAGGAATTGAGGGTAACAGGGTATATGAATGTCCTTGACTCTCAAAGAGGCAATACCAAGGTGTAACGGTCAAAACCAACTTGAACTTTCAGTGGAAACATGGGCAACCATCTATATGGATGGTGGTCCTCGGTGGTTCCAGGACAGCAGCCTCAGCCTGGGGTTGTGTGAGCAGCACTTCCCAGAACAAACAGTGAAGGGAGCATGTGACAGGATGTCCACTGTCACTGGCGGCCAAGAAATGTAGATGCAGACCAAGGTGTGATGCCACTGACATCCACTGACAGACTTTAAAGTCTGACAAAGCTCAGTTACAGGGAGAAACAAAGTGAAGGTTGAAGGAGATCCAAGGAGTTCCCAGAGAAGGGGTCTCAACTCAGGATGAGTGAGGTTCTTGACAAATGCCACAGAAATGAGCTTGAGGACACATCAGTTAGATTCAGGTTTATTTAGGGAAATAGACACCCACTGAAGGGAGAATGTGGCTATCTTGAAAGAGGTGCTATAGGGTCCCAGGCTCTTCTTTTAAAGGAAGTTGGTGAGGGGTGGGCATGGGAAGGTGTGTAGGGATGACCCCAGTCTAGTGATCACAAGGTGGTTAATGGTGCTCTGGTCATTCTCAGAATCCTTAAGTCTCCATTATCTGATCAGGTTATCCTGTTGGAAAGCACACTGTCATAGATACTTTCTTAAAGTATCTTCTCTCTGCACTTAATCTATTAAGGAGTATATTTTTAAGTTTTAGTTGTCTTTAGATATCGAAAGGATTTTTGTTCAGTGACTTGCTTCATTCACTTAACATTATATTGCTAGGGCGAATACTGTTGTGTGTGGGTTAATTAACAGGGCACAAGGTAATTCTCAAAAGTGAATGAATTTTCATGAGTGGTAACTCTGAGATTTAGATTTTCCGGGAATTTGAGTGAAGGCTGGGAGAGCTAATCTGGGGAGTGAGAGGCCTGAAAAGGCCTATGGAACTTCAGGTTAAAATCCCATTCCGTGTCCATCCTTCTGTGTCCTTTTTTACCAATCTACCAATTTCTTCTGTCCTCAAAATGACTTTGAAAAAGTCTGCCATAACCCTTAAATGTCCCTTTTTCCAGGTAGTTCAAGGGCTGATGGAGGACCACAGGCAGGAAAGCGCCATCCTAACTAGTTCTCACCCCGAGGGGGGCTGGTCGGGCTGGAGACCCCACAGGCCATCCTGATCCAGTCCCTGGCACATTTCTAGGTTTCAGAAACATTTTCAGGAAGAATATAATGATCCATTACTAACTTTCAGGGACAGGGCTTTTTTAATTTTTATTTATTTTTTTCGTGGTGCTGGGGATTGAACCCAGGGCCTTGTGCATGCGAGGCAAGCACTCTGCCAACTGAGCCCTATTTTTAATTGTTCTTTTTAGTTATAGATGACACTGGGATGTATTTTGACATATTAAACAGGAATAGGTCTTCTTTTAAATGAAGAAACTACCTTGAAGAGCATTAAGCAGGAATGAGGCGTGCGAACCCTTGCGCCCGGGCTCTAGGAAGCACAGGCCTGAGCGCACTGCGGTCACCTGGCCACGGTGCCGTCCCCGGCCCCGTCCCATCCCACCTCCTCCTTCCGCCCGCCTGCAGGCCGAGCCGGGGCAGCGCGGCACCCCCGGGGGCGCGCGCTGCAGCGACCGGCGGGCGAACTGGGAAGCCGTCCACAGTCGTCCCGAGCGCGGCGCGTCCCGCCCCAGAAGCGCCAGGGCGGAGAGCACGTCGGCCAGGCTCTGGGAGCGCCTTTGAGCTGCACCTCCGACTCCGGACTGGAGTCGCGGGCCGCCCCACGGGGCTCAGAGGGCCCGTGGTGCGCACCGACCGCGAGGGGACGGCGCCTCCCCTCCACTGGTGCACGTTCCTCCCTCCCCAGCGCTTGGCCGGCAGCTCTGGAGCCCACGAAGCCGGACAGACCAGGACCCAGCGGAAACCGCGGCGCACCCCGCGCCGCCGACTTCCGGGAACGGAGGAGCGCAGGCCCCGCCCCGCGGGCGTAAACGTCATCTCCCCGCGTCGCCGCCGGAAGTGGGCTCGTGGGCGCGCCGGAGCCGGGAGAGCGAGGCGGCTGCGGGCGCGGGCCTGAGTGATGCGCGGGCTGCTACCTCTAGCCGGCAGAATAGTTCTGGTCGCGCTGCGCGGCGGCCGCGGCTGCTGCGGGCTCGGAATGTTCTACGCCGTGCGCAGGGGCCGCAGGACCGGCGTCTTCCTCACCTGGTGAGTGGGCGCGTCGGCCTGTGCGGACCCCGCAGGCGGCTTTGGGGCGGCCGGGCCTCCCTGGGGCCTGTGTTGCGGACGGGCTCCCCGCGGGAGGCGCGGAGCCCCGGCAGCACCGCCAGCGTCGCCAGCACAGGTTCCCTGTTCCGACGGGGCCGGAATTTGGGCGATCTCCGGGGGGTCCGCGCAGGGGCCTTTGCGGTGGGCCGGGTCGCGGTCGTGACGGGAGCGCGCTCCCTGGGGGGTGGGTCCCCGCTGTCTGGAGCTCCGGGGCAGGGGCGTGGCAGAAGCTGGACCGGACCCTCCCCTCCGCGGTATCAGGTTTTGTCGTCGGTGTGCACACGTGTACTGCCCGTGCCTGGCCGCGACAGCAGAGAGGAAGAAGCACCTCAGATGTCCGCCCGTTTTGTTGCGATACAGTTAGTCGACCTTTGTATTTCAAAGACCCCCAACTTGTTGTTATGCTCTGAGTTTGAGGAAAGCCAATGGGGCCGCCGCACCGTCCGCCTGGGGGACAGCAGGGCAGGGGTGTGGAATGTGACACGCCAGGGAACGCTACAAGCTGTAGGGTGTGACATTTGCCCCCAGGAGCTGGCAGCCCGTCCTTTCTCACACTGTTTCCCACCTAAGAGGAGTCTTCATTAAAAGGGGGTAGTTGGACAGGGAGGGAGGTTGGAAATGACCTGCCTCCCTTTTCCAGGAATGAATGCAAGGCGCAGGTGGACCGGTTTCCTGCTGCCCGGTTTAAGAAGTTTGCCAGTGAAGATGAGGCCTGGGCCTTTGTCAGAAACTCCGTGAGCCCCGATGGTGAAGGTACTCGCCTGTCCTATGAGTGTGGTATTTTAGCCCATTCAGAGGCTTCACAGCCAGAGGTCATTGGATCTGTGCACGAGGAGGCTCTGCAATCTCATTTTTTCCCCTGTTGTACAGATTAAAGAGTAGTGCTCATGTCAGTAATAGTGTTAGACACACCAGGACTCTCATCTCTTTTTGCATTCAGTTTATCACTAGGTCATAATTATTATTATTATTATTTTTTGGTACCAGGGGATTGAACCTAGGGGTTCTTAACCACTGAGACACATCCCCAACCCTTTTTATTTTTATTTTTTTAATTTTGAGGAAGGGTCTTGCTAAGTGCTGAGACTGGCTTTGAACTTGTGAGCCTCCTGCCTAAGCCTCCTGAGCCACTGGGACTACAGGTGTGCACCACCATGCTTGGCATAATTTCTTTCTTTTAAAAAAGTACTTGTACTGTTACTGGACCTAGAAGGCTATGTTTTTAAAGGATAGAATGTGATTTCCCTCCACAGCATATGTGTATATGGTGTTTTTATTTGGAACAGAGTCATGCAATTTGAATTTCTTTCAATTTCATGTGTTACAGAAAGTATTGAAAGTTAGGCCTAATATAAGGGACATAAGATTTGCAACTCTGATATACATGACTGAGATAAACAGAGTGACTCTGATTTAGAGCACAAGATTAAAAAAATATATTTGGGCTGGGACATACTTAATGGTAGAGCATTTACTGAAGACACATTTGTGTGTGCACGTGTGGTGGTAAATGGTGTGTGAACCTACCTTGAGGAAGTAGGGTTTTGAGTACTGGCAGACTTTACAGGAGAGTTAAGACTGAGCAGAGCCTAATAAGCTCATATGTTCTTTTTTTTTTTTTTTTTAAAGAGAGAGTGGGAGAGAGAGAGAGAGAGAGAATTTTTTAATATTTATTTTTTAGTTCTCGGCGGACACAACATCTTTGTTTGTATGTGGTGCTGAGGATCGAACCCGGGCAGCATGCATGCCAGGCGAGCGCGCTACCGCTTGAGCCACATCCCCAGCCCAGCTCATATGCTCTTGAACAGTTTCAAGCTCACTGAGATGCTTGAATGCTGAACTCCTTTGGGATGTGATAACAATTCTGGATAGACAGGATTCAGGGAAAGGCAGGTCATTCTCAGACTGGTATTTTCAAAGGGCTAGTTTCTGAGGCAGGAAGATCCTTCCTTTGTGCATCTGCTCATCCTGTCTCCCCAGCAGCTTTTTAAGGAGCTCCCTGTATGCTAGTTATTCAGATGGAGAGATTAGAAAGAAAGCAAGTTTGAAAGTATGGCACTTGTCTGTCTGGTTGAGTTTTTCATTGCCTTTTCATAGTTTTTCTGAACCAGTTAACAATTATTCACATCTCAGTTCTTCCAGTGTACATATATTCCTGTCTATGAATCTGCTTTCCTAAAAGCTTACAGAGACCTCATAGTGGCTTAGGTTTATAAATTGAGATTTTAGCACTTTTAAAGTTTAGGATCTATATCAAATAAAAACATTAGCTCCCTTTCTAGTTTTTTCTCTTATCCTCATTTTGGAATTTTTGATCTGTTGTATGGCTTATATAAGCTGATTTACTTAAAGAAAAACACACTTTTGTGAAGTAAAAATTACCTGATAACTGTGGTTTTCCCATCTTTCAAAGACTTGTCTGCTCTTTAAAAACTTTCAGTTCAACTAAACTCTGTTGTAGTAAATAAACCGTATTTGTATCAATATCAAAATTCTACAAAACTGCCCTTTGATCTGTACCTGTGTGTTTGCATTTACTTCTGTACAGTACCTTTGAGGTAAATAAAGAGGCACCAAGGTGGTGGGTGGAAATGCCCCCTTGCCTCACTCAGATTCCCAGTTGCCTGGACATTGGAGAGGCCTGGCAGGAAGCTGCTGGAGGCACAGGTGTGGTCTCGCAGCTGTTCAGCAGACGCCTGGTGGGTGTCAGTGCCCTGTTCCTCCATCCCTGGCATAAGAGTTTAGAGCTAAAGGTCAGTTCTGTGGTTTGGGTTAAGGTTGCTGTTGTGGAGATGTTAGTTATATTAGTTGCTCCTTCTGTACCTCTGTTCCCCCTCCATAAAATGATACCGAGGGAAAGTTGCCTCAGATCAGCGTTTTACAGAAGCCTAGAGGGTCAGGGTCGATGTCAGCTGCCCATGTTCTCAGCCAGTGAAAGTGGAGCTGCCCTTGAAACACTTGTTCGTGAGTCTTTCTCATTCAGCTTGTGCTTGGGGAAAGGGGACTGAGATCCTGGCTGTCCAGTAATCCCTGAGGTGGTGTTTGAGATTCCTTTGGCTTTAACCCCGGGTCCACCTGAAGAGAAACTACAATAGTAGTTGGCTTGTTTCCTGATGTGTCCCATTGCCTGGTTGTTTATGCTTGACCCACACCCCCTTAGCCTCCCTAGAGGTTCTTAGTGTGGAGTTCATGTAATGGCAATATTTGGGGCAGCGAGGGGCTGATCTTATGTACAAATTTGGGTCCTTGTTTTCCTGGGTAAGAGTCCCTCAAATTTTCACATTGTCATCCCTAGCTGGTGTGTCTGTTATGTCCATCAAAACCAGGTTTTTCCACAGAAGCTCTTCTATTGTCTTCACAATGCTCTTATCAAGCTCACCTTGGAGAGTTGAGAATTATTTCACAGGACTCAAAATCTGAGATGAGCCGGGCATGGTGGTGCATGCCTGTAATCCCAGCGGCTTGGGAGGCTGAGGCAGGAGGATTAGGAGTTCAAAGCCAGCCTCAGCAACTTAGCAAGGCCCTAAACAACTCAGTGAGACGTGTCTCAAAATATAGGAAAGGACTGGGAATGTGGCTCAGTGGTTAAGTGCCCTAGGTTCAATCCCAGTGCCAAAAAACCCCCAAAAGAATCTGAGATGGTGTGTTCCAAGTCATTCCCTCTGTAGGGCTGTTCAAAGGGTGTGATAGTAAATAACTTGCTAGAATTCTTGATTCTTGAGTAGTACATTTTATGCTCATTGTTTCTATCTCATGAATAGGCTCTTGTCTTCCAGAGCAAAAAAATACTCATGCACAGGAGTCACAGGTGAAAGTCAGCAAGCGTCTCAGAGAGCCCTTAGATGACCATGAAGAAGAGGTCTCAGAGCCGAGTGCGAAGTATGTGCGAAAGAACACAGAGCCAGCCCCTGCCCTTGGCAAGGACACATTTTCTTATATGGGTATGTGTTTTAGTCAGGTTCTCACCACGGTGACCAAAAGACCTGACAAGTAATGCAGAGGAGGAAAACTGTTTTGGCTTTTGGTTTCTGAGGTTGCAGTTCATCGACAGGCAACACCATTGCTTTGGGCCTGAGATGAGGCAGGACATGAAGACAGAGGGAGTAGTGGAGGAGAACTGTCAGGACACGGCAACAGGAAGCAGAGAGCGTTCTGCTTACCAGGGACAAGAGATAAGCCCCAAAGGTATGCCCTCAGGGACCTACCTCCCCAGCCACAGCCTCCTGCCTGTCTGGATTAGTCCACAGTGGGGTTACAGTGGTCATCCTCTAATCATTTCACCTCTGAACCTTTTTGCATTGTCTCACGTGAGCATTTGGGGGATACCTCTTATCTAAACCGTAGAGTACATCTTCCTTGGGTTTTTAAAAATATAACAATCTAGAAAACATGAAAACTTTGCTCAATCTCTAAGTGAGAGAAATCTGAGCTGATGTTTATCCTCATTGTTTTCCATACAGGATATATAGAATTCTCTAAGGTTACCATTTTATAATTGATGAAGTCATGCAGAATTATTAAACTTTTAGGTATTCTTAGGAAAACCATTATGTAGACCACAAATGACATTGTAATGTTTGAAAGACCTGTAGTCCCTATGCACAGAGTGCTTTAGCTCTTCAGATGAGGAAGGCCTCAGCACAGCTGCCTTCCACCCTCAGTCAGCACCATTTTACCCTTGTGTTCAGTCTGGAGATTGTGTCTTATCCCTAGAAGCAAGGTGGTCATGAACTGTTTCTCTGCTTTAACTTCAGTCTCTTAGTGACAGTGTGTATATCTTCTTATCTTTAGTATAGGCGAACAGAAGGTAGAAATACCCAGCATTTTTATTTTTAAAATTTTATTTATTTTTTAACTGTGAATGGATCTTTTATGTTTTATTTGTTTTTTTGTATGTGGTGCTGAGGATTGAATCCAGGGCCTCACACATTCAGGCAAACGCTCCACCACTGAGCTACAAACCCAGCCCTCAGCATTTTTTTTTTTTGGTCCTGGGGATTAAGCTCAGGGGCACTCCACCACTGAGCCACATCCCTGCCAGGGTCTCACTGAGTTGCTTAGCGCCTCACAGTTGCTGAGGCTGGCTTTGAACTCTCGAATCTCCTGTCTCAGCCTCCTGGGCCACTGGAATTACAGGTGTGTGCCACCGAACCCAGCTCCTAGCATTTTTTATAACTCATCGAATTTGTAGGTTCTAACTTTCCCAGGAAGAAGCCATTTTATAGTTTGATTCAAGGGAAACAAATAGAAATGTTTTGTTGATCTGTATTTGTAGGTTAGTTTTTATAGTTATTTAAAACAGTCAAAAAGGTGTACTTGATTTGGTTATTTGCTGCTTGAAAGTGAAACAGGTGTTTGTGGCATACCCGGGGTATGAGCTGTTCCCAGCATGCTCACCACTGCTTGAAGCTCGGTGGCCCCGACACAGCCTGGTGTGTGGTAGGTCTCTTCAGTGACTGCAGGCAGCTGTGGCTGTGTTGGCAGAGCTGAGATGCAGCTGGACTGAAGCGTCTCACCAGCCTGTGTTCTGATGTCCCAGCACCGTTCCAGGAGCTGAGTCCCTGTGCTTCTGTAGCATCCTCCCACTGTGCCTCTGCTGTGCCTGCTCCACCCACTGTCCTGGACAAGGGCCTCCTGTGTGTGCCTCTCTGCTCCCCCTTCCTGTGCCTTAGTGCTGTGCAACCCAGCTTCTCCCACTGTTCTGCTGAGAGTGTGTTGCTGGCCACCAGAGGCCTGAGAGTGGCCTGGCCTTATGTCCGTCCTTTCCTTCCTTGTTGTTCACAGCTTTGGCATGTTAATCCCACCCTCTGCCTTGATGAAAAGAAGCACGGTCAGGAGCAACAGTTCACTGTTAACAAGTGTCCTGCAAGAAAAAGGAGACCAGCGTTTGTTAGAGGACTTGATCTTCTGGCAGGCAGGGTCACCATGATGCCAAGGCCCTGCTCTCTCTAGAGTGATAGCTTGCTGAGAGTGACGGTGGCCCTGACATAGAGAAGGACGTTGCCATTGTCTTTTGACCCTTTAGGGTAGGTTGTAAGTGGTAGATCTCTGGAAGCAGGTTCTAGCTCTGCACTGTGACCACCTTGCCCTGTCCCTTGCCTGGTGTGTGAGACCAGGTGTGGTGTAGCATCTGCCCCACATAAGAAATTTGTGTTTCCCAGAGACTGCAGCATGTAGAACATCTTCTTAAAATGCTGACCTGACTTCAGAGACATTTGGTGTGAGTTTTGTTTTTTCCAAAATTTGATCCAGCTGTGTTTACTGTTTCCCTTACAGGAGACTCTGTGGTTGTCTACACCGATGGCTGCTGCTCCAGTAACGGGCGGAGGAGAGCACGAGCAGGAATTGGTGTCTACTGGGGGCCAGGCCACCCTTTGTAAGTAAACAGCTCAGTTTTTCAGCATCAGACTTTACTGAATCATATTCTAAAACTTGTGGAAAGACGCAGTAGATCTGGGTACTCATTGATTATTTGGAAACCTTGTCAGACAAACAGCTCTAGCAGGGGCTGATAGAAGAACAGAGCTTTGATTTTTATTGACACTGAACAGCTTTGTTCTTCAGAATGTCGAATGTAGAACCTGGGTGTTGCTGTGTCGGCCCTAACTCTCAGGCGTCTCTATCTCATGCGCTTTTACACCAGAAGGGCCTCCTTCCTCTTAGCTTAAATTAGATGGACCTCGCAGGGCTGCCCAGGGAACGGCTGCTGGGCTTGGAACCCGTGTATCCCTAGACCCTTTTGAAGCTGTGTGACCCAGCGGTGACCCTGGTATGTCAGAAGGCAAGGTGAAATGCTCTTGTTCAGACCTATCTCGCCTGTGGATGCGAAGAAACTGGGATGGAAGCTGAGCCCTGAAGTTCAGAGGAAAGAGGGACTTGGTCCCTCTAAAGCCGCCCGCACCAGCGCTCAACTTTGTTTTCCAGTATTTACAGGTACCCACAAGAGCCATGTGTAGGTGGCCAGATGCAGTAGTGCACACCTGCAATCCCAGCACCTCAGGAGGCTGAGGTAGGAGGGTGGCAAGTACAAGGCCAGCAACTTAGTGAGACTCTGTCTCAAAATTAAAAATAGGACTGAGAATGTAGCTCAGAGGTAAAGTGCCCTTGGGTTTGATCCCCAGTAGCTCAAGGAAAAAAAAAGTTGGTTGTTAGGCATTTTTAATAATGATACCACTTTCCATTTCTTTCTAACTGTACAGTTCACAAAGTTCTTTCACTTTAACTTTTTGCTTAGCTTCAAACCCCTGTGGTGGAGAGTGGAAGCTGGTTTGGCACTAGGTTCTGGGGATTTCGTGCTGGCCCTAGACACCATGCTAATGCCTTTCAGTCCAGAAATTACACTTTGTCCTTGACTTCTGGTCCGGTGTTTCTTCTATGCCATATTATAGTGTCTTTCAACAAAGTGTTAGTTGGTTTGATTTTTTTCTTAATATTTTTTTTAGTTGTAGTTGGACACAGTACACTTATTTTATTTACTTATTTATTTTTATGTGGTGCTGAGGATCAAACCAAGGGACTCACACATGTGAGGCGAGTGCTCTACTGCTGAGCCATAACCCCAGCCCCATGTTGGTTTGATTTTTTTTAAAGGCTGTGTTTTTATATGAAGCTTTTATATCGTTTTTTTGTTTTGTTTTAACACATTAGCTCATTATTCATTGGAGGGAATCACTTTTGAGAATCAGCATTATAAGTGTATTTTTAAAAATTCTGTTTTGAAACAGAAACATAGGCATTAGACTCCCCGGACGACAGACAAACCAAAGAGCAGAAATCCATGTAAGTTATCAGATAAATGTGAGTTTGTCATTTCTCAATATTGACCTTGAGCATGAAACTCATGTAAAGTTACCTGATACATGTGAGTCTGTCATCCCTCAGCAAGACTATGAGCATATCACTTACTACTGTTATCCATGTAGATAAGATATTCAATGTCCAGAAGAAACTTTGGGTTAGTAGCAATTCTGGAGAAACACTCTAAAATGTCATTTCAAGTCGGTGTCAACAGAATTATATGTTTAGCACTATTTCACATAAAGAATATAATCAAAGTACATAGGAAGAAGGAACCCTTGTGTCATAGACCCTTTTGAACATGTGTGACCCAGAGGTGACCCTTGTATGTCCAAGTGTGAATCACTTTGAGCATGAGCTGTGTTGCCCATTCTCTGTGGAGGATGACTGTGGCTTGTTTTTTCAAGGCAGCCTGCAAAGCCATCGAACAAGCCAAGGCTCAGAACATCAGTAAATTGATTCTATACACGGACAGTATGTTCACTATAAATGGTAAGCCTTCATGTTTATTTCTTCCAGTAATTTTCCAGTCGCTCTGAGGGGAACTAGGCTTTTCTTTCCCTGGTGGGAGGTATTATAATAGGCTAAAATTAATAACAGGGATGACATTGGTCCTGTCACAAGGAAAAGAGGGAGGTTTTGAAGCCCAAGTTCTGTCATGAAGTAGCTGTGGCTCTGCTGTCCTTGCAGTTGGAATCTAGATGTGTGTAAGTAACTTAGGATCAAGGTGTGCTGGCTGCTTCTTGGAGAATGCCCGAGGGAAACTTCCTGGAGAAGGACGTCCTAAGCTGAGAGCTTCAGGTGAATGCAGTTAGAGGAATGGGGGAGATGGGTGTTTCTGGCATGTGCTGCAGGCCAAAGCAACTGGGGCCAACTGAGGAGGGGAGGAGTCCAGGATGACGGGTCAGAGCACAAGAGGCCCCAGAGGCAGGACAGGCAGGGCGGTGCAGGTGGAGGCCCAGTGAGCATACCTTCCCTAGGGATCACTAACTGGGTCCAAGGCTGGAAGAAGAATGGGTGGAAGACGAGTACGGGGAAGGAGGTGATCAACAAGGAGGACTTCATGCAGCTGGAGGAGCTCACCCACGGCATGGACATTCAGTGGGTGAGTGCCTATTAGAATGTTCAATCTTGTGACTGTTGTGACCATGTGGTCCCTATTGACTCGAGAGCAGTGGTTTACTTAAGGGATCGAGTGGTGCAGGTTAACAATTCCCACAAGGGTCATATCATGAGGTGTAATGAGTGCCTTTGATTCTCTCTATCTTTGCAGTGAACAGTGTTACTAGGTGTAGGAAGTGCAACAGTAAAAAATATTGCTGGAGGGCTGGAGCTGTGGCTCAGCGGTAGAGCGCTTACCTAGCATGTGTGAGGCCCTGGATTTGATCCTCAGCACCACATAAAAATAAGTAAATAAAAGTATTTTGTCCAACTACAACTAAAAAAATAAGTATTTAAAAAAATATAGCTTGATAAGGCCTTAGGAACATGGTCTTCTTTCCAAAAGGGAAATGTTTTTCTTATAGTTTTTTTTTTTGGTGGGGGGTGGTACTATGGATTGAAACCAGGGGCACTTTACCACTGAGTTATAGTCACAGCTTTTTTTTTTTTTTTTAATTCTTTTTAGATGTTAATGGATTTTTATTTTATTCATTTATATATATGTAGTGCTGAGAATCGAACCCAGTGCCTCGCATATGCGAGGCAAGCACTCTACCACTGAGCCCCAGCCCCAGCCAGTCACAGCTCTTTTTGTTTTTTTATTTTGAGACAGTTTCACTAAGTTGCTGAGGTTCGTCTTGAACTTATGATCTTCCTGCCTCAACCTTCCTAGTTGCTGGGATTACAGACATGTAATAGATAATTTTAATGAAATGTTTTCTCCACACAATACAAAGCAAGTTAAACTTTTAATCATTGTCTCAACTCTGCCTTGTTCTGCCTCCATAAAACCATTGGTAACATTTTGTAACCAACATGTAAATTTGCTTTAGCAATGGAAATGGGAACAATGGTTAAATCAAATAAGTAATCCATTCTCCTAAACAGCATTCAAAGAGTAAAGAGTGTGTGTGTGCGCGCGCGCAAACACAGATATCTATCCATCTGCACAGTTTGCCATATACCATTGCCAAGTAAGAAAAAAAGCACCATTAATGGTAAAATCAAATTTGTAGAGAAATGAAATGGAGCTTTTGTGAACACGTCATTGTGTGAAGCATCTGGAATATATGTTGTGCTCTTCAGTTATGTTGGGCAAGAGGCTCTGAGTGAGCTTCGGCTCGCCCAGTCTGCTCTGTGTGCTTGCGTTTCTCAGTGGAGTGTAGTCATGTTGCTTGTATAAAAATCAGGAGAAGTAAAAAGGAAAACCTTTATTTTAACAGATGCATGTTCCTGGTCATTCGGGATTTGTGGGCAATGAAGAGGCCGATAGGCTGGCGAGAGAAGGGGCTCGGCAGTCTCAAGACTGAGTGGAGTCACTTGGGTGCTCTGGAGAAGGCAAGCGATAGCTCTTGTTGCTGTCATTTCCTGGTGTGGGCATCAAGACCTCTCAGCAGGAGTGCTATAGGAGACAAAGCTGAGCCAGGGGGCACTGTGTCCTGTGAGCATCTCAGTAAAAAAGTGCTCCAGGAGGAAGTGGACGTCTTTGAGATCTGGTGATTCTGAGATCTGCTGCTTACTGGGCTTAGTATATTTTCATATGTTTTATTGCAGTTTGGCCCAAAGTGCTTGGGCGTTGATTTTTATAAGAAATCAATAAAACATTGGTTAAAAGATGCTGACAGGAACTCAGGAAGAATTGTGGAAGAGTTCGCTGACCTTCTGATTTTCAAGGTGGAGTCACCTGCCCTTGTAGCCACACTGGGCATGTGGCTCACAGGACGCCTCTCAGGTGCCTGATGCTGTGTACACAGGAGACCGTGGCTGTGGAAGAATGGCCTCAGTATTTCAAGTGTGTGTGTGTGCAGGGCTGGGATCGAACCCAGGACCTCAACATGCTCAGCAGTTACAATTTTGTACGTGTGTGTGTGTGTGTGTGTGTGTGTTGGGCACTGGGGATTGACCCCAGGGGTGCTCTACCACTGAGATGTTCCCCCAGCCCTTTTTATTTTTTCATTTTGAGAGGTCTTGGTGAGCGGCTGAAGTTGACCGTAAATTTGTGATCCTCTTCGCTCAGCCTGCTGAGTGCTGGGATTATAGGTGTGTGTCACCACTCCTGGCTCACAGCTTTTTTTTTGGTACCAGGGATTGAATCCAGGGCACTTAATCACAGAGCTGCATCCCCAGCCCTTTTTATATTTTATTTAGAGACAGGGTCTCACTGAGTTTCTAAGTGCCTGGCTAATCTGCTGAGGCTGGCTTTGAACTTGCGATCCTCCTGCCTTATCTTCCTGAATTGCCAGGATTACAGGTGTGCATCACTGTGCCCGGCTCAGTTACAGCTTTTAAAGACCAAGATGCATATATCTTTGAAAAGTTTCTTTGGCTTTTTTTCTTAAAAATACTGTGCAGGTTTAAAACAAATGTTTGACATGATCATTTATTTTTGAGTTTTTTTCCATAAAATAAAAATACAGAAAATGACACAAAACAAATGAACGTGTATTGAATTACTATTATAAGATGAATGTCCTTGCATCCACCACCCTGTAAGGAATAGTGCTTTGCTGGACACTCCAGAGTACTCCCCTGGGACCTCTCCTTCCTCCTCCTTCCCTCTCTTTACAATGTAATCCTGACTTTTGTGGAAATGACTTCAGGCATTTCTTGATGTCAGTTTAATCTTGCCAACTTTTTCCTTTTTTTAACTTTATATTTCTTAGGGCTTTTAAATTGCAGTCCCTGCTCCATCCCACTGTTTCCCTACATATTATCTTCTGGACCTGGGCCATCTGTTTTTTCTGTAGTCTGGATTTTGCTGATTGTGTTCATGAGAACACAGTTCAAATGTGGCCAGCAAGGTGGGGAGCAGGACTAGGGCACTGCCTCCACTACGCAGATAGACAGAGCTCCATTCTGTCAACCCAGAGACATACGGGATTATTCTGTTTTAGGAGCAGTAACTCACCAATGGGGTAAGCAAAGGTCTTTTTACTTAGGACATATGACCATAAAAGAAAAAGACTGCATATAAATAAAAAATGTTACTTCATAACGCAAAGATTTTGAAAGTAACAAGCAAAAGCAAACTATGGAAAGAGTTTGTAACTCATCACAAAGGACTAATATCCCTGATGTGTACGAGAAAACAACTGGTGAATCAGAGGAACGGATCACCCAGGTTGTTCCCAAGAAGTACATACAGCCCCTGGAGTGGATGTGTGTCCATCTTCACTCCGGAGAGTACAGCTGAGCAGCAGATGCAGTTTCTCCCTCAACAGGCTCCAGGGTTGCCGAGGCTGTTGGGAAATGCTGCTGATGCTGAAGGCAGATGGCATACCCCTGGACACCAGCGGAGCCTGCCTGCCAGTATGATAAATGCGTTTCCCTGATCCGCCAGCCCTGTTCTGCAGACTGATACTGCAACACCTGTGCCCATACAAATATAAGGCAGGATTCATGGGCTGGGTAGAAGCTCAGCCACCATGCCCAGCTCATCAGATAATGTTCTGGAGAATGTTTTTGGAATTAGAAAAAAAATATTGTCACTATTAAACAGTTTTCTCCCTATAAGCTGCTGTGGTTTGGATGTGTCCCCAGTTCATGTGTGGGGAGCTTAATTCTCAGAGGCACATGCTGATGGTTGGGAGGTGGGCCTTTGGGAGGCAGTAGGGTGAGGTGAGGTCTACAGGGTGGCCCCATGACGGCATTAGAAGCCTTAGAAGAAGGGAAGGGAGACTCATGTTTTTTTTTTTAAGGAAGAATTTTTTAAATATTTATTTATTTATTTTTTTAGTTTTTGGCGGACACGGACACAACATCTTTGTTTGTATGTGGTGAAGAGGATCGAACCCGGGCCGCACGCATGCCAGGCAAACGCGCTACCGCTTGAGCCACATCCCGAGCCCCAGAGACTCATGTTTTTGGGAAATGTCTTAAGAGTCTTTGGGGACAATATGACCATGAATGAGGCTGGTGGCCCACACTGGAATAACTTTTGGGTTTGATTTTCATCCTGGGAGCCTGGACGCTTGGAATAATTCACTGACAAATAACTCAGGATTTGCCCGGCACAGTGGCTATGCCTGTAGACGGGAGAGTCTAAGGCAGGAGGATGTCGTGTTCGAGACCAGCCTCAGCAACTTAGACCCTGTCTCAAAAAAATAAAAAGGGCTGTGACTCAGTGGTAAAGTACACCTGGATTCAATCCCTAGGACCAAAACCAAAAAAACCAAAACCAATACAAATGAGTTTTTCTGCCTCTGCCTTCCCTCTACCTCCACTACCTCTCTTGACCAGAGACTGCTTTCCTTTAATAGCGCCAGTGAGACTTGGCTGAGTGGCCTCCAGGCAGCTGACTGGCTTCCTCCTTGAGAAATCCAGACCCGTGCTCCTTTTTTTTTTTTTTGGGAGGGGGGACTGAACCAAGGACTTTGGGTGTGTGAGGCAAGCACTCTACCACTGAGCTACATCCCCAGTCCCAGTCTCCCTTTTTTCAGTGAAGAAAATTTATGTGCACAGCTGGCTCATTTCTTCATTCATAGATAACACGACTTTAAAAATCTTCATTGGAAATTTTCAAAAGTACACAAAAAGAGTAGTTTGATGAACATCCATGAAACCATCTCCCAGCTTCTTCAACAGTTACCAAGTTGGATAACCTGACTGAGTAGTATTCCAAGGCTGTTCCTTCATATGTGGTATTAGGTGTGTCTCAGCACAGGGACACATGGAAAGTCTGCCAAGGTCATGTGTCTCCTAGGGGACTTGCCGGGTTTCTTGGCTGAGTGAGATCTGGGACTGCCTGGCTGGTTTTCTTTTTTTTCCCTATCCTCTGCTATTCCCCCCTCCCCTCCCCTCCCATCTCATGGCTGGTTTTCTTATGCAGGTCTTGCTGTTAACCCCAGGTTTATTGATAGACAGGCCCTTGTGTTTCACAGCAAGTGGGTTTTTTTTTTTGGCCGTGTGTCCAGGCCTCTTGAGTAGTGCCCAGGTGTGCCTGTGTGTTATCTGTTGGCCTTTCTCCCCTGCTCTGTGTGTTTCCCACAAAGCCCTCAGGCTGTTCCAGCTGGAAGTCATTAGCCCAGATGGCTTTTCCGTAGACTCTGCCTGGCCTTGCTCTGGCTGGGTCTTAGCAGGAATGGCCCTGGGGGAGAGGACCTGAATGAAGATGAGGGCTGAGAGCAGTTCTGCTCACTGTGTACTCTCTCCACCAGAGCCTCTGAGGCACCAGGCTGCAGAGTTTGGTTTTGGTGTGAACATCTGCCTCCCAGGTTCCCGACTTCCTGCCCAGGCGTGAGACCTGTGGTCAGAGCACCTCGCAGCTCCCTCAGAGATCCCCAGCGCCAGCAGTCTGGCTACTGCTTCTGCTCTTGAACAGTTGACTGTGCCACGTCTCTCACCCAGGGGGCCTCAGTCCTGTTACATCTGGGAATCTGGGTGAGGCCAACAGCCTGCAAGCTGGGCAAAATCTCACTCTTCATCGCTCTTCCCGCAGGCCAGGAGAGGTCAAGTACGCTGGGCGAGCAGACAAAAGCAAAGTTATTAGCACACAGCAGGGGCCAGCCGAATCTAGAAATGGCTGTTAAATATTTCCCCGTATACTACCTTCAGTTTCTCCTGTTGGCCTGCAAAGCCTAACGTGTTGACTCTGGCCCTTCATGGAGCATGTTTGCCTAGGGCGGTGTCCGTGTCCCTGGTTTCAGTGGCTTTGGTCACCTGGTCTTCCAGGGCACTGCTCTGCAGTGGAGGAGGCCATCTTTCAGAACACCTCAACAGGTTCTTCCCCAGTCTCATGGTGGTAATGAAACCTGGTTGTGAAACATTTCTGGGCTGTTGGTGGCTGTTTTTCTGGAAGAAACATGTCAAAGATTCTCCAAAGGCAGAACGCATGGGCTGTGGTGTCCACAGGAAAGCAGCAAGTGCCATTTCCCTCAGTTGTCCTGCTGGAGTGCTGGGGGCAGCAGACACAGCACCTGTTTCCCCGCCAGTCCCTCCGCACCCTGCTCATCTTGCTTTTCCAAAGCAAAGTTTTTTATGGCACAGAACTGCTCCCCTTTCCCCTGTTCCAGTGGGAAGGAAAAGACACCTGCTCAGGATGGAGGCCGGCAAAGGCAGATGCAGGCTGCTGGGCGGCTGCACCTGGGCGGGGTGTTAAGTGCTCCCCCAGGTTCAGGACCACTGCTGCTGGCACCGCATTTTAGCAGCTACTGTAGAGACTGTTGGGCAAGATTCCCTGAATTCAAACCCCAGCCTTGTCACTTCCTGGCCATGTGACCTGAAGTTAGGTGAGTTCCTGTGCCTCAGGTATCTCACCTTTCAACTGTGGGTGACAGGTACTCCCAGCTGCCCAGAGTGGTCCTGAGGGCACCACTGTGCAGAAAATTCTCACACTGAGCTTGTGCTGCGTCACTAGAAGCGCTGACGTGGGGCAGGAGGCCATTACAGTGATGGTGTGAAAACTCGGGAGGGCAGTGTTCACGAGCTTTTCTTGGGGTACTGTGTGCTAAGCGCTGAACGAGTGACGCGAAGGTATGCACAGCTGTGACACCACACATGAATCGTACCACAGACATGAGGTTGACGGGTGTCTGCAGATGTTGATTCAAATGTCCTCACGGAACCTAACAAAGAACATGCACGTGCCTAAGGGGAGGCTCCGCGGCCAGCATGTAGGAATGGCCAGGGCAGCTTCTCTGCAACTGGGTGTCTGTAGGGGAAAGCATTTGAGTCAGGAAGAGCATCTCGGGGAAACCTGCCTGGGTAAGGACCTGAGGCAGGAGGAGCAGGAGATCCACATGCTAAAAGGCCAGAGGTCTGGAGAGCAGAGCGCAGGAGGGGAGGTGGCAGGGTTGGGGGTGGCCAGGGTCTGGAGTTCAAAAAGCAGGGTTAACATGGGGACTGGCATGACATGGCTTTTAGAAGGTCACTGGCTGCTTTGCAGGGAATGGTTGCACTGGGGCAAAAGCAGTCACAGGAGGCAACTTCAGTGGTCAGTTCCACCAGCCAAGAGGTGGTGGAAAGAGTGGGATGAGGCCAGTGGATGGGGGTATGGTGTTTTGAGGGTCAAGTGAGAGGATTTGCAGTTAGGGTGGACTGGATGTGGAGTGTGAGGGAGAAAGAGCAAAGTACCCAGCTTTGGAAGAAGCCACTGCTGCTCCCTGATACAGGAAAGGCCAGGTTAGGTTGGAGACTTGTGGATACTCAAACCTGAGGTTCTGGAAAGGGGTTCAGACTGGAGGTGTGGACAGGGGAGTCAGCAGCATGGGGTGGACTATGTGAGGCCACTGGGTTGGTGAGAATGGACAGGGAGAGACCATTGGGACCATCCAGAGGAGCAGGAGCCAGAAGAGAGAGAGAGGGAGGGAGGGAGGGAGGGAGCAGTGACTTGAAGGAGAACCAGAAGAAGGTGTCTGAAGGGAGTGGGCAGCTGTGAAGCGCTGCTGCTGAGATGTGGCAACCCGCAGTGTCCATGGAGTGGGTCAGGAGGCAGTGAGAGAGGACAGGTCATTAGAAACCACTCCTGAAGCACACAGGGAAACACAGCCATGTCCAAGCTGCCGGGAATCAAACCCAGGACCTCACAGGTGTACGCCAGGCACATGCTGTACACGGAGCACACCCCCAGCCTGAAGGGCCAGCAGAAATCCGTCAGGTGGAGGGGAGAGGAGATGAGGATGTGGCTTAGTATTTGCAGTCATTAGAGGAAGGGAACAGAATGAGGTGGACGTGTGCTTCCTGTGCAATCTTCCTGAAGCCCTGGAGTCAGTCTGCTTTGGAGATGTAAACTAGCACAGTCTGGTTCCAGTTGCTTGATTTGCTAGGCTGAGGGAACAGCTGAGAATGTGATCTTTTTTTAGCTGATTGCTCTGAAAAGATAAATCCAGGCTCATCAAAAGGTTAGATTCCTTTTTTCTTTTTTATCAGCTACACAGATGCTCAGACTTTGATGGGATTACTTCCTGATAAACCCCTCGTAAAGTGAAAGTATCAGCTGAAAGCACACCAAACCTGTGTGCAAGTGGCGGCCTAGTGGGGCCTGTCCCCCAGGCTCACACCAGCTTTAGCAGACAGTTGGCAGACCCAGCAGTCTGTCCTCGGGTGTTGAACATCCCATGTCATTGACTCAACAGGTACTGGCAGTGGAGGCCAGAGGGCCGCATGAGCGCTGCCCACTGCGGTGCACAGCTAAGACACTCTGTGTCTGAAGAACCGTGAAAGGTCCCTTCAGCTGCAGTGTGGACTGTCTGACTGCGTGGCTGCCCCTCCCACAGCAGGGCTGGAGTGTCCCTTTACCTGCTGCGAGCCTGGGCAGAGGCCAGAATTCAGAACTCCAAGTGTGGTTTCCGCTGAGTGCAAATGGCTTTCCACCATGAAGTCACAGGATCGCAGCTGAACCACCCTAGGGAGGGGGCTGTCTGTGTTCACAGGAACTCAGGACTAGGAGGGGCAGCCTGGTTTATTCCAGGACACAGCACATTTTATGGGAAAGATGACATGAAAAGAAAAGATGGCGCTTTTAAAAACTTACATATTAGGGCTGGGATTGTGGCTCAGGGGTAGAGCGCTCGCCCAGCACAGGCGGGACCCGGGTTCGATCCTCAGCACCACATAAAAATAAAGGCGTTGTGTTGTGTCCATCTACACCTAAAAAATAAAATAAAAACATTTAAAAAAAATTAGATGGTAGCATGGCCGACTTTATTTATTTATTTATTTATAGTACTGGGGTTTGAACCCCCGGGCACTGTACCACGCGGCTACAGCCCACCCTTTTTCAGTTTTTACTTGGAGACAGGGTCTCCTTAAGTTGCCCAGGCTGGCCTCCAACTTGCGATCCTCCTGCCTCAGCCTCCTGAGTCTGGATGACAGGTGTGGGCCGCGCCGGGCTACAGTCGTTCAGTTTTGCCTTCACGTTGACGGCTGTAAAACGTGAACTGTTCCTCGGAGTCTTCTCGGGGTGGGGGCGCAGGAAACCTGCGGCGGCTGGCCACTTGTCCTCCAGGCCCAGCAGGGGCGCGCTTCCCTCGCCGGCCCCGCCCTGGAACTCCTCCCACTCCTCCTGGCACCAGACCCGTCCGGACCTCCTCCCGGAACCACCCTCCCGGAACTACCCTCCGGGTCCTGGCCCGACCCATCCCTTCCCTCCCCGGCCCCGCCTACCTCCATATCCCTGCCCACCTCCCTCTCCGGACTCTGCCCTCCCCGGCCCGGCCCCGCCCGCCTCCCTGTCCTGGCCCCGCCCACCTCCCTGTCCGGTCTCTGCCCTCCCCGGCCCGGCCCCGCCCACCTCCCCGGCCGCCTCCCTGTCCTGGCCCCGCCCACCTCCCCGGCCCGGCCCCGCCCACCTCCCTGTCCGGTCTCTGCTCTCCCGGCCCGGCCCTCCCCTCCGCCAGAGCCCGGCTAGACGCGCCGCCGCCATGGTGCAGGCCTGGTACATGGACGAGTCCGGGGGCGACCCGCGGCTGCCGCACCGCCCCGAGCCCGGCCGCGCGGTGGGCCTGGAGCAGCTGCGCGGGCTCGGCGTGCTCTACTGGAAGGTTCGAGGGCGCTCCCGACGGCCGGGCGCGCTGCGCATGCTCGCACGGCGGGGGGCGGCGGGACCCCGGCTCAGCCGAGTGGCCCGGAGCACCCCGGGGCAGCCGTGGCCTCACCAGGCCCGGGGCGGCAGTGCGGGGCCCGCGGAGCTCCCGTGGGCTGGGGTCCCTGGTTCCGGTGGACCCCGCTCGGCGGACGTCTGCTCTGCGAAGCTGGTGCCGCCGCTGCGGGCCGGTGTTCAGTGTTGGCAGGCGCCGCTCCCCACCCCCAGGGCCTGCCTTGGCCATGGGAGGCCACGGGGGGCCACGGGGATGCGTCGGCGGTGACTGTTGCTTTCGCTGGTCTGCATTCAGTTGTGATCAAAACAGGCCCAGGCCTACATCCCCCCACCCTTCCTAGGGCGCCTCCTGAGGGTGGGGTTAGGGACGTGCATGGGGAGAAGAAGGGTGAAGGGGGACTGGAGACACAGTAAGCGTGGTCAGTGTATGCAGTTAATCTTGGGGCGTCTTCTTGGATGCAGGTCCAGAAAATGGTATTGGCAAGATCTGAGGATGGTGTTGTCTGGACGCAGGTGAAAGGTCCCTGGTTTCAACACGAGTGGCCTTGAGGTGGCTGGAAAGGAACAGGCCATCATGGCTGTGACCTGAACCTCAGACGTGCAACCTACATGAGAGCTGAGAAAGGCCAGGCCTGCAGTATGGGGGTTGAGCCCAGGAGTGCTCCACCACTGAGCCACATTCTCAACACTTTTTATGTTTTATTTTGAAATAGGGCTTTGCTAATTTGCTGAGGCTGACCTCAAACTTGGGATCCTCCTGCCTCAACCTCCCAAGTCACAGGTTACTGGCATGTAATGCCATGCCTGGCCAGAATTAGTGACTTAATGCCAGCTAAAAGCAGGCAGCTAGCCGGGTGCAGTGGTGCGTGCCTGTAATCCCAGCGGGTCCCGGAGGTTGAGACAGGAGGATCAAGAGTTCAAAGCCAGCCTCAGCAATGCCAGGTGCTAAGCAACTCAGTGAGACCTTGTCTCTAACTAAAATTCAAAATAGGGCTGGGATGTGCCTCTGTGGCTGGGTGCCCCTGAGTTCAATCCCCGGCACCAAAAAAAAAAAAGGCAGCTAGAGACAGACGAAGCCAGAGGGTCCTGCTGGTGCGGGGACCGGAGGAGCTCAGCTCTGACTTATGGAGCCAGGCCCAGGTGTCTTTCCCTGCAAGGCTGAATAGGTTAATTCTAGACTGGACTTGTCTTTTGTGGGCCGCAGCCGAGTTCTGAACCTCTGGAAGGTACCGTCTTCAGTGCAGTCAAGGGCTTTATGGTTTCTGTTATGATAGGAAAATAGGTTTTGACGAAGAGTGACATCTGATTTATCCCCATTCCCAAGCACAAGGGTCAGATCACGGCACTCCTGGAGTTTTGTTGTGACAGTTAAAAACAAAAATGAGGTAAAGGTCAACTTCAGACGTGTCCGGAAAGTGGGACAGTGTTAAAGGGTGTCTCTTGGCTTGTTTCCTGGGTCAGCCAGGATGTCTTCCTTCTGCAGCCCAGAGGAGGAGCCCAGGGCTGCGGAAGGTCCCTTGCTTACCACGGGCTACCCGTGCCTGGTGCACTGTCCTGTGCTTTCCTAGTGACTGAGATGGACCAGTGGCGTCCAAAAGTGAAATTAGTTAAAGATCTTTATTTTCTCAGTAGTGGGGATGCTGAACCACATCATCCCCAGACCTTTTTTAGTGTTTATCTTGAGACAGGTTCTTGCTGAATTTCTGAGGCCAGTTTAAACCTTATGATTCTCCTGCCTTAGTCTCCGCAGTTTCTGGGGTTACAGGTATATGCCACCATGCACTGCAAAGTTTGTTGAAGAACTAATTGGCTTTTGCTCAAGATTTGTGAGGCCGGGCAGTCTGCATTCTGTGAAATACAGTCAGCCTCTGTGTCTTTATGTTGTGCACCAGGCAGTCAATCAACTGCTGATTGTCAATAATAACAAAATTGCATCTGCCCTGAACCTGCGCAGCCTTGTCATCCCTTCAGAATACAGTAGAACAAGTATTTATGTAGCATTTGCATCCTGTTAGGTATCCAGAGATGATTTAAAGTACGACGGAGGGTGGGTGTAGGTTATGTGCCCATCCTGCGCTGTTTTA